CTTCAGTTGTACAGGAGTTTGGTTAGACCACACCTGGAATATTGTACATAGTTCTGGTTGCCTTATCTCAGGAAGGGTATAATTTCCATAGAGAGAGTGTAATGAAGGTTCACCAGCCTTGTTCCTAGGATAGGGGGACTGACCTGTGGAGAGGAATTGGTCAAACTGGGCCTATATTCTCTAAATTTTCAAAAAAATGAGGGGTCATTTCATTGAAATCTAAAAAATACTTAAAGGAACAGAAATGGTATCATTCATAAAATCCTGACAGTGTGGAAACAGGCCTTTCAGCCCAACAAGTACATGTTGACCCTCAGAGCATCCCACCCAGACCCATCCCTATAGCCCACCTATTCTACACATCCCTGAACGCTATGGGACAATTTAGCATGGCCAATCCACCTAGCCTGCACATCTTTGGACTGTGGGAAGAAACCAGAGCACCCAGATGAAACCCACACAGACATGGGGAGAATGTGCAAACTCCATGCAGACAGTGACCTGAGGGTGGAATTGAACCTGGGTCCCTGGTACTGTGAGGTAGCAGAGCTAACCACTGAGCTACTGTGCTGTCCTGGAGATGCTGGTAAGATGTTTCCCCTGGGAGGGGAATTAAGAACCAGGGTGCAGAATTTCAGTATGGGGGAAACCACTTAAGACAGAGGTAAGGAGAATATTTTTCAGTTGGAGGGTGGTGAAACTTTGGAATTCTATACCCCAGAGGGCTTTGGAAACTCAATCTCTGAGTACGGTTAATGTAGATGTTTATTGATTTCCAAACACCAATGATGTAAAGTGATAATACAGGGAAAAGACATTGAATTTGGACACATTGTCTAATTGAATCAGACATAGAATCCTGACAGTGTAAAGGCAGGCCATATGGCCCATTGAGTCCATGCTGACCCTCTGAAGAGCATCCCACCCACATGCACCCTATCCCTGTAGCCCTGCATTTCCCATGGCCAATCCACCTAACCTGCACATCTCTGTGGGATTGTTGGAGGGAACTGCAGCACCCAGAGGAAGCCCACACAGACATGGGGAGAATGTGCAAACTCCACATAGACAGTCCCTGAGGGTGGAATTGAACCCGGGTCCCTGGTGTTGTGAGGCAGCAGTGTGAACCACTGAGCCACCATGCTGCCCCAATACTGGAGCAGGCTTGATGGGCTGAATGGCCTACTCCTGCTCATATGCTTCTATGTTCCTCCCACTGTGCCACCAAAACCCCATCAGAGTTAACAGGATTAAAGACATCAGTGTGTATATTATGTAGGAATTTTTAGCAAAGAATGGTAGAATTTCCATTGCAGTGTTACTTCAATGGGTGCAGTGGAGGAGGAGGCAAGGGCTTCAAAATGTTCTTGTGATTGATCCTCAATAGCACGACATGAAGGAACGGTCTCTTTATTGACAGCTACCTGATCCGAGGCAGGGCTTTGGGAGGAGCAATACATTTTAAGAGCAAAATTTGGAATGGGTCCAATATCCTTGCTGGGAGGTTTGCTCGTGCTGTTGGGGAGGTTTTAAACTAATTTGACCACAGGATGGGGCACAGTGGAGAAGTAAAGTTGGGAGCACAGTCCAATCAGATGTCGGAGGAATGCTACGACAGTCCAGTAGGTGGAGAAAGAGTGGGCAGGATCAAGCACATGGGAGAACAGGAAAGATATATTGCATCTATTTGAATGCAAGGAGTTTGACTGATAAGGTGTATACGCTTAAAACATTGAGCAGCACGTAGGAATATGATACAATCACGGATATATGTTGAAGAAAGGACAGGACTGGAAGCTCAATATTCCAGGGTGTAGATGTTTTAGGTGTGATGGGGGCTTGCTGGAGCAAGAGAAATGGGGGCATTGCATTATCGACCTCACCTGTGTTTACAGAGGAGAAAGACATTGTAACCGGGGATTTCAGTTGGGATGGTGAGGTTCAGGAACACATAATAATTAATAAGGAGGAGGTATTAGATATTTTAATGAACAGACAGGTGCATGAATCCCCAGAGCCGGATGAGATGTATCCCAGGCTGCTATGGCAGGCGTGGGAGGAGATTGCTGGGACGCTGGCGGAGATATTTAATACTTTGCTGGTCACAGGTGAAGTGCCAGGTGACTGGAGGACAGCTAATGTGGTTCCTTTGTCCAAGAAGGACAGCAGGGATAGGCCGGGTAATTACAGACCAGTTAGTCTGACATCAGCGGTAGAGAAATTATTGGGAAAATATTTTAAAGGACAGGAATAATCATTACTTGAAAAGGCAGGGATTGATCATGGATAGTCAGCACGGATTTGTTAGAGGGAGATCCTGTCTGACTAATTTAATTGAGTTTTTTGAAAAGGGGACAAAATTATTGATGAGGGTAGCGCAGTTGATGTGGTTTAAATGGACTTCAGCAAGGCCTTTGAGAAGGTCCCACATGGAAGGCTGGTCCAAAGGGTAAGATCCCATGGGATCCAAGGCAAGTTGGCAAATTGGATCCAAAGTTGGCTTTCAGATAGGAAGCAAAGATTGATGGTGGAGGGTTGTTTTTGTGATTGGAAGCCTGTGACCAGCGGTGTACCACAGGGATCGGTGCTGGGACCCTTACTGTGTTGTGTACATTAACAACTTGGGTGTGAATGTGGAAGGTTTAATTAGTAAGTTTGCAGATGATGTGAAAATTAGTGAGTGTCGTTGATAGTGAGAAAGGTGGTGTCAGGCTACAGTCTGATATTGATCAGAACATCTGGGCAGAACAATGGCAGGATTTTAATCCTGATTAACGTGAGGTGATATATTTTGGGAGGTCTAATAAGGGAAAGATCTACACAATGATGTTAGGTCCCTAGGGAGTACTGAGGAACAAAGGGACCTTGGTGTACAAGCCCATAGATCCCTGAAGGTGACAGCACAGGGAGACAGGAGGCATATAAAGTGCTTACCTTCAATACCCAGGGCATAGAGTACAGGAGTAAGGACGTTTCGTTACAACTTTATAAAAGTTTGGTTAGACCACAGATACAGTTCTGATTGCCACACTATCAGAAGGATGTGATTGCATTGGAGAGGGTGTAGAAGACATTCACCAGGATGTTGCCTGAGATGTAAAGTCTCAGTTATGAGGAGAGACTGGAAGGGCTGGTTTGGTTTTCCCTGGAGCAGAGAAGGGATCTGATTAAGGAATACAAAATTATGAGAGATATAGACAGAGTTGATTGAGAGAATCTCTTCTCTATGGCTGACGAGTCTTAGACCAGAGGGCATAAGTTTAAGGTGAGGAGCAAGTAGTTTAGAGGAGATCTGAGACAGAGGTTTTTCACCCAGAGGGTGGTAGAAATATGGAGCATGCTGCCTGAGGGGGTGCTGGACACAGCTACACTCACAACATTTAAGCATCTTCTGGACAAGCTCTTAAAATAGCAGAGCATAGTGGGTTATGGACTAAATACAGGTAAATGGGATTGGTTTAGTTTGAAACAAAAGCAGAAATTACTGTCAAAGCTCAGCAGGTCTGGCAGCATCTGTAAAGAGAAATCAGAGATAACATTTCCAGTCCAGTGACCCTTCCTCAGAACCGGACCCCAAATGTTAACTCTGATTTCTCTTCACAGATGCTGCCAGACCGGCTGAGCTTTTCCAGCAACTTCTGTTTTTGTTTCTGATTTGCAGCATCCGCAGTTCTTTCAGTTTTTACTTGGTGTAGTTTGATGTTTGTTGGTCGGCATAGACATGATGGGCTGAAAGGCCTGTTTCTTTGCTGTATGACCCTATGACTCAATAGCATTTATATAGCACCATACTAAGATGTATCAAGTCTGTTTTGCAAGAATATGATCAGACAATATTTGAACTGAGCCACAAAAGGAGATATTAGGACAGTTGAACAAAAACCCTGATCAAAGTAGTAGGTTTTAAGGAGAAGTGAGATTCAATCCCTGCAGTGTGGAAGCAGGTTATTCGGCCCTTCAAGTCCATGCTGACCCTCTGAAGAGTATCCTATCCACCTACCCCTGCATTTTCCATAGCTAAACCACCTACCCTGCACACTATGGGCAATTTAGCACAGCCAATCCACCCTAACCAGCACATCTTTGGACTGTGGGAGGAAGCCCACGCAGATGCGGGGAGAATGTGCAAACTGTACACAGACCGTTGCCTGAGACTGGGATCGAACCCAGGTCCCTGGGTCTGTGAGGCAGCAGTGCTAACCACTGAGCCACCGCGTTAAGGAAGAAATTCCAGGCAGCTGAAGGCATGGTCGCAAATAGATGATTGACTGATTGCTCTACCAATCAGAGCCCATTTCCCAAGCGAACAACACCCCATCTCTTGCAGTGTAATTTGTTGTTCCCTTTGCGATTGGGATTCTGGTGATTCTCCCCTCAAAAAGGTCAAGAAGCCTTGATAGAATATCGTTTTGTTTACAGCAATGCTCACAGCTGGGGTAACTTCGAGAGGCCAGATTTAGATGAGTGCAGAGATCTCAGAGGGTGCTAGGCTTGGAGGAGGTGACAGAGATGTGGATGATAGATAGTAGGAACTGCAGATGCTGGAGAATCTGAGATAACAAGGTGTAGAGCTGGATGAACACAGCAGGCCAAGCAGCATCAGAGGAGCAGGAAAGCTGACGTTTCGGGCCTAGACCCTTCTTCATTTTCTGGAGCATCAGAGGATGAGGGGTGAACTTATTTAAAAGGCATATGGATGAGAACATGAATAGGAAGGGTTTAGAGGGATATGGGCCAAATGCTGACAAATGGGTCTAGATTAATGTAGGATATCCTATCAGCGTGGATAGCTCTACATCTTGCTATATCAGAGATATGGATGAGTCAGGCCTCACTAGAGATTTAAAAACAAGGATGATCTTTTCTTAAAAATTGAAGCGTTGGTGATGGTTGGGCTGTAATGCACTGGGGGCATTCAATCATATCTATAAATCTTCGATGTGAAGCCAATTTAATGTAACAACATCATTCTGTGCTTCCAGGTCTATTAACAGAAATTCAATGTAAATCTAAGAGACTAAGGAAAGCACCAACACTGCCTTCTGTACAGCCCAGCCGAGAGACTTTTGACGGAGTTGATTCCAAACAAGTGACCTCCACCACGAGACACAACAAAGTAAAAATGTTCATCTTTTTTTTCCTGCGTAACGTGCCATTCAGATTACATTTCCCCAAGAAAGTGTCAAAATTGTCCTGATTTCCGAAAGGGATGGCATTATCCTGGGCAGGGGGCAAGTGTCACAGAACTTCCAGCAGCGGGTGGCAGCGGTGAGGGAGGACACCAAGCAGGGCAGCTCAGGCAGTCTATTGACTGCTATTTGGGAAAAAGAGGGTCTTTGGCCTCGTGTGAGAAAGGAGAGATAGACAAACCATTTCCTTAACCAACTATAAAACGTGGGAACCCGAAGAACTGTGGATGCTGCAAATCAGAAACAAGAACAGAAATTGCTGGAAAAGCTCAGCAGATCTGGCAGCATCTGTGGAGAGAAAGCAGAGCTAATGGTTTGGGTATGGCAGCCCTTCTTCAAAACTAATTGTAGCTTGGAAAAAGTTGGTATCTGTGCTGATGATGGAATGGGGGTGGAGGGGTAGGAGTAAATGATAGGTAGAGAGGGAGCCCAGAGAGAGAGAAAAACAGTTGGGCAGACAAAGGAATGGGTGAAGTTCTGACCAAGTGTTTTTCTCTCAGTCTGGGCTCCATCTCCACCTATCCTTTGCTCCCCTACCCCTACACCTTCTCTAGCATATATACCAACCTTTTCCGAGCAACAATCAGTTCTGAAGAAGGGTCACTGCCTGGCCTGTTGTGTTCCACCAGCTCCACAATGTACTGACTCTGACTCCAGAATTGGCAGTTGTTGCTATCATTCAATCAGAAATGTTAACTCTGCTTTCCCTCCGCAGATGCTGCCAGACCCGCTGGGTTTTTCAAGCAATTTTCTGTGTTTCTTATAAACTAGAAGCTTAATTCACTTTTGGAATACTGCATTCAATTCTGGTCTCCGTGCTTTAGGAAAGATATTGTTAAATTTGAAAGGGTTCAGAAAGGATTTACAAGGATGTTGCTGAGATTGGAGGGTTTGAGATATAGGCAGAGGTTGAATAGGCTGGGGTTTTTATCCCTGGAGCATCAGAGGCTGGGGGGCTACCTTTTAGTGGTTTATAAAATCATGAGGGGAATGGATAGGGTGAATAGTCAAGGTCTTTTCCCCAGGGTAGGGGAGCCCAAAATTAGAGGGCATAGATTTAAGGTGAGAGTGAAAAGATTTAAAAGGGACCTAAGGTGCAACTTTGTCACACAGAGGGTGGTGAGCGTATGGAATGAGCTGCTAGAGGAAGTGGTGGAGGCTGGTACAATTACAACATTTAAAAGGCATCTGGATGGGTACGTGAATAGGAAGGGTCTAGAGGGATGTGGGCCAAATGCTGGCAAATGGGACTAGATTAATGTAGGATATCCCATCAGCATGGATGAATTGGACCGAAGGGTCTGTTTCCATGCTGCACAGCTCTATGACTCAGTACAACAGTTTCCCAGGTAACCTTAAAGACCTGATGTCAGTGGAATTTCCTTCTTCATGATCTTCAGGCTATCCATGTGTTTAAACCTTGTGGTATGCACTGGAACATAAGAAACTATAGCAGGCCTGCACCATCAACTTGACAAGCCTATTCCATCACTCAGTGCGATTGTGACTGACCAGCCTCAGCTCTACCTTTCTGCATGCTCCCTGTACCTTTTCATTCCCCAAGAGATCAAACTTCTATCCCAGTTGTGGATATATTTAACAATCAACCTTTTGAGGTAGAGAATTCCAAAGGTTGACAACTCTCTCTGACTCAAAAACCCTCTGGTTTGAAATGGTTGGGGCCTTATCCACAGCCTGTGACCCTGTGTCTGTGTTCTAGACCAGTCTGATGTACAGGAGACCACAAAGTGCTCAGCTGAGTCCCAGAGAGTTCGGAGAAAGTGGAAGCCCAGTGTCTTGTTGTGATTGGAACTTCCCACAAGCCTGGTCCAATAGTGTGAGCGTAATTGTGTGTGTTTGTATGTGTGTGTGTGTGTGTGTGTGTGTGTGTATGTGTGCCTGTGTGTGTGTGCGTGTGTGTATGCGTGTGTGTGTGCATGTGCGTTTGCGTGTGTGCATGTGCGTTTGAGTGCGTGTGTGTGTGCATGTGTGTTTGTGTGTCTGTGTGTGTGCGTGCATGTGCATTTGTCTGTGTGTGTGTGTGTGTATGTGTGTGTGCGCGCGTGTGTGTGTGTGTGTATGTGCGCATTTGTGTGCGTGTGTGTGTGCGTTTGTTTGTGTGTGTGTGTGTGTGCATGTGTGTGTGTGCGTGTGCGTTTGAGTGCGTGTGTTGTGCATTTGTGTGCGTGTGTGTGCATGTGTGTTTGTGTGTCTGTGTGTGTGCGTG